GATTCGTTAGATAAGAAGGCAAACACTTTTCTGCGTGTCGTGAATCATGAAGTGCACAATCCAGTTGTTTCACCACCACGTTGTGCTACCATCACCACCATCACATCCAAAAGTCACCACTATCGCTTCCCAAAGCGAGGCTTCTTCCCAAAGACAAACTCCGTCCCCCGCCCTCCAGGGAAAACTCCCATTCCCTCTCTGCCCCCAGCCCTTTGTCACCATTGCAGGGACCTCGTCTTCTAAGCGGAGAACTCTTAAGCCACAGGCAGAGGCAAAGGACCAAGGTACTCACAAGGAAAGTGACTTGCCAGCACTTGACCTTGTTCATCTGGAAAATGACGTCCCGGGCCTGCTCATCGGGCAGGGTTATGTGGCAGCTGATGGCGTTGTTGCCGACAGAAACGGTGACCAGGCAGCCGGGTTCTGGGTAGTCGCAGGTACAGGGATCCAGCTGTAAGCACCCATAGTGCCGCACCTCCTGAGACAGCTCCAAAAACTGCACCTCCAATGAAGGAGAGGCGGGAGAACACAAAACACTTGACGCAGACTTTTTTTGAAAGTTCATGTCAGAACCAACCACGTTTCTCCAGGAGCACATGGGATGCAGACTCAGGGAGCGCACGCTTTCCTTCTGGACCAGCTGCCCCTGCATGCTTTGACGGTGAACCCTGAAGCATGCAGGGGGTCCAGGTGTGGCTGGGCAGGACAGGCCCCTCTGCCCTCACTCGCCATGTGTCTCTGGCCTGCCACACTGCTTTGGGGAGAAAAGTTTTGCGTGAAGGGAGAACACTGGAAAATACGGCGTGAAGAAAGCGAATGAGGAGATGTGGTTTCAACAGGGAGATGGTAACACAGCACAAGGCCCGGGAAGTGTAGGTGACCGTACCGCCTTTTAAAGAACGAAGTGGAGGAGTGTGCCTAGAGGTGAGCACCTCATTATTCACAGGCTGCTTTAGGTAAGAGGGAGAGTGTGGAAATGGCAGTGAAATGTGTGGAGGAGCAGGTCTGCTTTCTAAGGAGACTTCCAGACAGCCCAAGGGTGCCCAGGGGGCACTGTTCAGGTTATTTCTACAAATTAGCTTCCTCCCTTCGCTTTTGAAGTGACCAAGGAAGAGGGGACAGTGGCACTTGGCAACTGTTTGCCCTCGAAAAATAGTGCCCATGATTGCTATCCCCAACCATTTGTGTACCTCGGTATTTGAATACAATAGGCTCTATGTGGTTGGCGATGACTGTGGGTTGTACATAAAGTTGGGCATTCCCAACCCGGGACTGCCCAAATAATACAAAATAGAGTAAACAGAAAACAAAACTAAAAAAAGGCACTGTCACGGAGTTGATTCTGATTCATAGGAACCTTAGAGGACAGGGTAGAACTGCCTCGGTGGGTTTCTAAGACTGTAATTCTTTACAGGAGTAGACAGCCTCGTCTTTCTCCCTTGGAGCATCTGGTGGGTTCAAACCACAGACCTTGTGGCTAAGCATCTCAGAACGTCAACCACTATGCCACCCCCCCCAAAAAAAAACCAAACCCACTGTCATTGAATCAATGTTGACTCCTTACTACCCTACAGAAAGCCACCCTTTCTCCCCGAGAAGGGGCAGTAGGGGCTTACGATGCCCCTAGAGCTCCTTTACACACAGGGTAAGTGTACATAATTGAGATCAGAGCTGAGGTGGAATACCAAAAATGATAAGTAAAATTAAAATTCTGCAAGGTAGCAGGCCTGTACTTATTCTTTCCTTTTTTACTTATTTATTTTTGCAGTCCATCGACCCAAATTTCCCAACTGTGTGAACCTTAGAAGATTTACTTTGTGTATCCAGCATCAGTTTTGCATGCACTTTATCCAACATCACCGTTTGCTTGGGAACACTGAGAAGTCTAAAGGGCAAAAGAGAGACAGCACCACGAGGCAGGGCCATTGCTTCTGGCACAACACAGCGTGTTGGCCTGACACGGAAATGCACTGCTGTCCGGGAGGATGCAGGCCCTGTGTGAGTTGGTGCAACCTGTGAGGAAGCTTTAAAATTGGCCGTTGAACACATCTCTCCTCTAATTCCTGAATGCTTCCTCCCCCACTACCATGACCCAGTTCTAACTTACAGATCTGGCTAG